GTGTGTGTGTGTGTGTGTGTGTGTGTACCTCTGCATGCTTTGAGTTGCTGGGTCAGAACTTTGCGGATCTCATTCACCCACGCAGTTTTTATCTCTTGCGTTGGAGCCTGGAAAAGACAAGGAATGGTTCTTTCTTACCTCGGCCAAGGAGATCATGTTTTCACCCCTGCTGTTTTTTATTTCCGAGACACTTATATCGACAATGTAATTAATTTGGTAATATGCTAATATTGCAATTACAACACTAGCAACAAGCCATGCCACAGGGTTTTATAAGTTGTTCTTTATAAAATAGTTTCTCGTCCCAGAAACTGCTTCATGGATCTTGATGAAAATATGTTTATGAGTATGAGCAATTTGATCCAAATAAAAGTGACCTCTCACCTGCACAATAAAAACTTCATCTCTGGAATTGCACCAAATCTCAAACTTTTTGTTATCTCCTTTAGCATTCTCTGTTATTCCCACGGCACTCATCTGAGAGAGGAAAGGAAGGAGAGACCTTTAGCAAAGAATATTTCACTGCAAATATTCATCCTTCGAATCTGAGCACTGCGAGCGTACACTGAGCGAGTGTTTGAAGCTGTAGGACGGCGCTTTCTCGTAGCCCTCGCCGTTCTCCTCCCTCCTCTTGCAGAAGAGCAGCGCCTTCTCATGCAGGAACAGGTGCCGCTGCATGGGCTTGAAGCGGGCCAGGTCCTTGACCTTGGCGTGGCCTTTTTTGTGCTCCGTCCACACGCTGAAGGAGCCTTGCATGAGCAGACGACCCAGCTCCGAGAGGTTACCCTGAGTGAGGGAAAATACAGGCAGGGATTTAGGTGTTTATTCTCACGCTGGAGTTTTCTGAAAAATCTAAATAAAAAGAAAAGCAAAATCTCACCAACCTCATATCCTGTGATGGCGATGAGGTGCATGGAGTCATTCACAGCTTTCAGGATCCCAAGAATAGAGGAGAGCGCCTCCTGTAGGTCATCACAGCCATCACGGCCTTTACTGTACTTCAACAACTCCTGCAAACACAAAGCAGAGAGCAAAGCAAGTCTTTCTCCATCTCACGTAAAACACAAATACTGCAGGTCCATCCACAGCACCTTATCAAATCTCACCTTAAGCAGTAGCTGGTACTTGGTGATTCTCTGGACAGGTTTTAGGAGGTAGGAGTCCAAACCAAGTTTATGTTCTAGCTTCTTCTGGCACTCCTGATTCACAAAAAACACAAACAGATTAAGAAAAAGTGTATATTGTTGTCGTGGAGCCCCAGCAAAGTTGAGAAGCGAGGGGCCGACCTGGAAGAAGGCACAGTCGGAGCATTGTCTCCACAAGCTCTCGGAGCGAGGTTTGTTTTGGCAGTAGGCCTCGTAGATCTGCAGGTCCTTCATCTGTGCACAGAGAAGTAAACAGTCATTAATAATAAGCCTCATGCAAGGTCTGTTCAGTGATTTAACTTTAGCACTTTAGCAATTAGCACTTTATCTCACCCGTTCTAAAAAGCAGCGGCCCACCAGCTCTGGGTAGTCAGTGTACGCTTCCAGTTCCTTTAGAAACGTCCTGAGGAAATTAGGAAATAGAGATAATGTTAAGATCAAGACAGAAGTAGCGTTGAAATGAATATTAATGGAATATTTTTTAAGACCTAGAATTCAGATTATTGAATTTTTGACACTGGGGAAACTGTAAGAAATATGCACATTTAAAAACATTTATTTTTTCCATAGCCATTACCACAAAGGACATGATAATCAACAGAGGATTTTATTTTCCCAGCTTACCTCTTGTGAAACTGGTAGATCTCAGACATGTTCCCAAACAGGACGTCCTTCTTGCTGAGCAGTGTGCTGGGGATGAGGGGAGCCATGGCAGGGTTGTCCATCTCTGCTGCGTAGCCCTGCAGTTTGAGATTACATACATGTGTCATGCCTGCAAATCAACAAAAACTTTAGTTGTAGTGTGCACAGGAACACGTGTGACTGATGTGACTCACCTCCAGCACACACAGCAGCTCCTCCACGTACGCTCTCTCCGTCTCCAGCAGCTCATTCATCACGTGACTGGAACACCACACAAACCATTAGCATTAATGCAACTACATATTTTACACCTTTAAAGTTGTACAACAAATTCCAAACAGCATCTCTGTCCCTTTAACTGTTTCCTTATCTACGACTCTTCTTATCCGTGACCTTTGACCCCTTACCGCCGAAGCACTGCCAGGTTTTCTTCTTCCTCTGAGAGAGAAGCGTGTCTGGTGCTGCCATTATGAAGAGGAGACTCCACCTGGAGTTTCATCACACACATTCAGGGATTTAAAACATCTTTTTTTAAGATATATTCTGACAATATGAGCACTTGATTCAATATTTCTCGTGGATTAACCTTTTTGCAGATGGCATTATCTGCAGAGTATCTCCTCTCTTTTCTCTGTTGATCTGCAGGGAGAAAATAGAAAGAAAGTGTTATTCATCCCCATACATCACTGATGTATGCTGCACTCTTTCTTTTCTTTTATTCATTCATCAATCCAGGCTTACTGGGCGAGGAGTGCGGTGACTTGACTTCGGGTCGCGGTGCTACTGGCTGGACCGGTCTGGTCTGTTTGGCGGCGAGTTTCTTCAAGCTGATGCGTCTCTTCTCGAACATCTCCTGCACAGAGCCCTGCTTCTGGAAAACTCTCTCTACCTGGTCCTGACGGAGATCGAACACAAGAGGAGATGTCAGGTGAACTTGATCCACAGCAGGAAACATCATGATGGACAAAGAAAGGCACTTTGGACTGACCCTGAGCTGAGTGGTGAGCACCGATTCATACTGGCAGCAGATAGCGCTGCGGTCGGCGAGGGTGTGAAGCGGCGCCGTGTCCAGGTATCGCTCCAGTTCTTGCAGAGCCGCTTCAGCACCGTCCTGGGACTGACAGCGGTCAACAGGCTGGCTGGCCAACAGGAAGATGCCCTCCTCACACCACTGTGACGCCTGAAGGGAACAGCATTGTTGGAAGTGGTGAATTTAACATTTGCATGGTGCTGAGGAGAACCTCCCTGTTCTACACCAGTACCTTCTCCAGAGCGTGGTGCATCTCCATCGCCCTGAGCAGCAGGTTCTTCTTGCTCCTCAGTGTGGCGCTGATCTCCTCGCACACCCCCCTTAACTCGCTGCACTTCGGCCTGATGGAGTCCTCGGCATAGTGCGAGTTTTCTATCAGCCTGTCACCTTCGCTGGACAGGGACAGGGCGCGGTCCAGGACGTCCTGATGAAATATTGGAGATGTCAAAAAATAATTCCAAACATACAGAATATTGGTTCAGCAGCAGTGGGGGCAACAGCGACCTCTTGTGGATGCTGTGGGACACTTGCATTAAGCAAATCAGTTAATCTTTAGGTTTTTAATTAATCCACACGTGAACACACAGGTGCCCAGCGAGGGGGGGGTGGAGCAGGTTGTGAGATTTATTATGTCATTTGCCATATGGCTTCAAGGATGCATCAGAGGTGAAAGTGTTGAGCATGTGTTTTCTCTTTCACGTGAGCTACACTATGAATCGGGATTGTGTGTGTGTGTGTGTGTTTGTTTGTTTGTCTTACACAGGCCTTGTCCTCGTGCCCACCGAGTTCTCGGAGGACATGCTCGGCGTGGGCGGGGCTGACGCTGATCTCAGAGAAACCCGACAGCCTCTCTGAGGTCACATCAAGCTGGGCGCGCACCTAGAAAACACACACACACATTCTCCGTTAACCTTGCGAAGGATCGGTCATCAGTGTGGCTAGGTGGCAACTACATTTCCCATGAACTCACTTCACGGAAGTGCTGTTCAAAATGGCGCAGCTGCAAACACTGTTCCAGCTTGGTGCGGTGGCGCTCCCAAAAATCATCGAACGCCGTCTCGGTCTCATCCAGCTGACCCAGGAGTCTGAGAGGGAGAAGGGAGGGATGAAAAGGAAAGGAAGAGGGGAGGAGATTCATTCATGTGTTCAACTTCTTCATCCACTTGTGCATCCCTTCATCCCTTCCTCTACCTCTGTACAGTCGCCAAATTCTCCAGTTCATCATGGGTCATGCTGTATTCGGGGTCTGTCTGTAGAGGCTCGTTGATGCAGTCCAACAGGCGTCCCCCTTGAGAAAGTGCCACCTGCAGGTCCTCCTGGAAATTGAATAAAACATTTTACTTTAATTGTGACGACAAATAGAAAAACCTAGAGTTTAGGCTTAAAAAGACAGAAGGGACAGAAAAGCCTCTCTGACCTTCATCGTGTCCTTCTTCAGTGTGTGTGTGTGCAGCAGGTTGGTGGTGGCCTCGGCGTCGTTGGGTAATTCTGTCTCTGCAAGCTCAGTGCCAAACGCCTGCAGAGTCTGAGCCGTGGTCTTCACCATGAGGGCAAACGCCTCAATTGCCTGCGAAGGATTCGAAAATGTACACAGAGCCCTTGCTTGCAGTCTGAGGGCCTAAAAAGTGGGAATACATGTGCATGTGTGTGTTTGTGTGTACGTACAGTGCGGTGAGAGATCCAGCTCTCGTGGCAGTACTCCTGTGTGCCTCCCAGCTCTGTGGTGAGTTGTCCTGGGTCAATATAAGCATGGAGCTCAGTCACCGAACTCAGCATCACCACCTATGAAAACATATACACAATAAAACACAATTAAAAACATATAAAATACAAAAAAGAAAGTTCTTTACTGAAATGAAAATGTGGTTTTAGTTTTTTGTCATCTAGGCTATTCATGATCCTGCAGTGACCTAGATAACGCATCCTGAAATACATTCATTATGTAGGATGAGATTAGACACATGCAAACATGAGTAAAAAAAAGAAAAAGTGATGGCCGGCACCTTCATTTTGAACTCGTCCCTGTTGAACTTGAACAGGAAGTCTGACAGAGTCCGCTGGAACAAAGTAGTGGGACGCAACACCAGAACCAAGTGCAAGTTCCCTGGAAATGAGCCCTGAGAGAGAAAACAGCAGCTGTTACCATGTGGAGATTTCAGGTTTGGAGGAACTAAAGTGTAGTGGATGAGGACGTGAGCTGTATTTTGATATATTTACACAGTTAATTTTTTACAGTGCATTTGATACCATATTGAATTAAGTGAATGAAAATAAGATGCCATCAAAAACTGAGCTCATCTTTGCAGCCACCATCCTCTGCAGCCACCCTGCACCGACCATGACTGGTTTCTTCCAGGATTTAATATCCACTAAATCTCCAATGTTCCATCACACTGCCCCGTCACACCTTCCCTCTTGTGATGTTATTAGTCCCGGGACTTTTGGAGCAGCTACGGCGTTATAGCTCCTATTCCTCTAACAGGTTAAAGCGAGGAATTGCCTTTACACAGACAACAGCCACAGGAGGCCACTCAGCTGAAATCCTATATTGGTTATGGCTTTCCTCTAAAACCCTGGGTGAATTGCTCAACCCTATTAGGCATCATAAATCAATGAAGGTGACACTTACATGCGTTCATATGGGTACGTGTGTACACACAAGGCCAGAGGCGAGCTCAGGAAATCTTCAGCGGTGCCATAAATAAAGTCTGAAAATATTCAAGAAATTTGAAGCTGGGAGAAAAAGGGGGCTGTTTTATCTTTATTTTTTTATCCCCTTGCTTTGAGCATGCTGTTGTATTTAATCTGCTTTCTTATGTTCACATGCATTTTACCTTCTGCAGATAGAATCGGAGGAGCAGAGCTAAGCTTACTGCTGCTGCGAGTGCAAACAACCAATCGACTGGCAATAACAGGAAAGTTGTTCCGAGGAACATTTCAATGCATCAAGTCATTGAATCAGTGGAAGCAATGTTCAAACTGGTGTCTGCATTTTCAAAATGGCGCCACCCACTGACGTCCTCCGTCATCTCAAAGCGGACGTTCATCACAACCGCAGAGACCATCCCATAAAAAGCAGACACGGCCAAGTGAGCCGTGATAAAGTGATGCGCACGGATCTAATTCAGTCTACAAGGAGACCCGCAAACACACACACAAATACACACATGTTAAAACACACACATACATCATAGTCATGAAATGCATGCTGGTGGTTGCCATGGAAACCATTTCTCCTTGGAAAAGGCATGGAGAGAGATGGAGCGAGAGAGAGAGTGCATGATTGAATAGTGGGGAGAGGCGATGCGAGGGAGACTGAGTGTGTGTGAGTGTGTGTGTGTGTGTGTGTGTGTGTGAAAGAGAGAGAGAGAGAGAGAGAGAGAGAGAGAGAGAGAAAGAATAAGAGTGACAGTTGCTTATGTCTGTTTGTGTGGAGGAGTCTTGTAAAAAGTGTCAGTGGTGCCCCAGCTCCGCTTTGCTCCTTTTGTTATTTATTTTTGTCTCTCTCACACACATGCACGCGCGCGCGCGCGCGCACACACACACACACACACACACACACACACACACACACGGCCTGCTGTGATGAAACACTCATGGTTCCGCTCCAGTTTCCACCCAAACTGACAGCTGACGGTTTATTTTAAATAACTCAACATGCTCACGTGCACTATAATACTTGCTGCTCTAATTATAGTGAATCTGTGGATATTGAACTATATGAAAGAATAAATAAACCCAGCTAGTGCACGTGTTTGTATATGAAGCAATTGTAGATACATTTCTATTATTGACTGTACAAAACCCAGCATACAATATATGTGTAACTGAAATCAATTTAATTCAATAAACCCTTTGAGGCCTCGCCTTAATTTGTAAATCTGCATTAACATGACAATACACACACGCCGCTCAGTGCCTCCCCCCTAACAGATGATTACAGACGTGCTACTGCGCTGGAAACTCACTTCTACATCAAATTGATGCTCCCACCTCGCAGATAAAAAAGCATGCATTAATACATGATAAGGTTTTAGAATTTCATTTTCTGTTGACCGGGCTGATTGATATGCGTTTGGCGAGGAGGCAGGGAGGGGAAAGCTCTCCACTCGTGTCCTCTAATGACATCCACGCTGGCCTCATGGGAGTTGGGTATAGCCACGGTGTTAAACCACCTCCCTCCACATGCACAAACCCCCATTTCTCTTGGAAACATGGAAAATTATAACAAAGAGATTAGTTTTAAATCGCTGCTGCACTGCAACAGCTTTTTAAGGCTGTTAAAATGTATTTGTCTTGTTTGAACCGGCTGATAGAACCGTCTGCGTCTCCCCCCTGCAGCAAAACCCCTGTAGTATGCCTGAGTGACTGCATATTTATTACCCTAAATCACAAAGATGAGCTGCTGCTCACATGAAGGCCTCCACATCATCATTTCACTGCAATGAATGTGGTTTACGCTAATTAATTTCTGGTATATAGGTGGATCAACAGTAAGATTTTTAAGGAAACTGTTGATTTAATCCTTCAAATCACTGATAAAGGTCATACAATACTACAATGGGAATGTAAAGTAATTCAGTATAAGTGTGGAAATATTGTAAACAAATTAAAGAAAATACATTTTATTTCAGCGGTACCATCAATTTGAGGTCAAAGGTCAACACTGTACAGGCGACCAAAACCTACAACCACCAGATTTACATGGCAATAACTGTCTGCTCCTCTTTAATTTTTGTATTATTTCTTCTCCTCTCGGGGCAAGAGAACAAGCGACCGGCAGCAGTCGACCTTGAAACCGCCTCGAACATCTCACAGGAACGACGGACAGACCTTCACTCTCCAGCAAGATGGCGCGTCATTGGCTGGTGGACAAAAGCAGAGCCGGCGCGCACAAGGACATGCACGCGACAGCCACAGGGGGATTGAAGTGAGGGGGACAGAGGAAGAGAGACGCTCCTCTCACCATCTGCTCTCCATGCCTTCAGGTTAAGTTATAATTCACAAACGCCGACTTGGATTTTAGAGGCTTTCCTCACCTGGATCTGTGGATTTAGACGGTGAGACATTGTCTTGGATTTATCCAAAAGAGTCTTGTTTTCTTTTTTTTTTATGTTGTCTCTGTCTGTCACTGTTCTGCATCTAACTTGGCAGCAGGTTAGAATTTAATCTGATATGCTTTACAGCCTGAAATAAAAGAAGCTGCAGAGTTCAACCAAACAACAGTCGGATGGTGATACATTCTGAAATAACTCATCTCAAGCATCATCTTCTTTCTGATATAATTTTCAACAAGAATTAAATTAGAAAAAAATATTAACAGATGTTTAAAGAAAAAAGCACATTACAGTGTAGAGAGACAGTGTAGAAGAACAGATGAGTGAAGAGAGGAATGGAAGATGAAGAAGAAGAGAGGAGGCGGAGCAAGGTGATCAGCAGGAGAGGTGCAGGGAGGAGGAGAGATCCTGTAGAGCGGCCTCTGCTACCATGCTGATAACCCTCCCTCTATGAATCATGGGTATGATAGAGTGCGAGACTCTTCTAATCTTTTCTTCATCACTTTTTTTTAATCTACCCTTTGCTCTCTTTTTTTGCTGGCAAAAACAAAACGTGTGACAAGCTTTACATGTTTTCTATCAAGTTTTGAATTTGCATTATAAAGTTTCATACATCCTGAACAAGGTGCCAGCGTATCACAGGGCCGACAAACAGAAACATCAAGGGTTCTTTCCCAAAATGACAAAAACCTTTTGGTCGAAGGTAAAAAGTTACTGCAAAACAACAGCCGGACTTTGGTTTGGTGCAAGATGAGGTGTTCTGAATCAGTATTAGTTTGCCCTTTAGAACACTATTTTTACTTTTATCTGGGAGAAACATGTGTTTTCATACATCTTGGTTTGTGTTTAATTCAAACATACATGTGTTTTAACACTAATAAACGGCAGAGAGGCAACTGCTGGTTGGTTCCTTGCCCAGTCCATCAACAACATGGATAAGATAACAGTCCCTGATTGGTCCGTGATGCCTGTAGGGGCCGTGTTCTTAAATGATTGTCACAGTGGAGACAGTTTCTTAGAAAACACCACGGAAAAGCAATTAGGCCTCTTTGTAATCAGTGTCCAATTACCATATATTAGAATACATCTGCATACATGGCAAAACAGTGTAGTACAGGAGGAGCATCGCACAAACAGATGTGGCGAGGCGTCCTCCACATGTTGGCAGACCCGGTTAATCATGAGTCACAGCCGGAGCACAAGGAAGACAATGTAAAAATCAAGAGGAACCCATATATCTGAGGTATCAGAACCAAATGAAACACAATACAGTTTCTATTTAGGAGAGAAATCAACACTTAGTGTTCAATTTTACACTCTCGCCTCACAGCAAGAAGGTTCCTGGTTTGAATCCCAGTTTGGCCCGTTTGCATGTTCTCTAATCTACTCTATTGTCAGCTTTATTCTCTCAAATAAACTTGCTTTTTTCTTATCAAAGGTTTTTTCCATGGATTATAGATTATTACTATTCATTGCCGCTTGCTGAATAAAACATGAATAAAACTTGTGTCAGGGAGATTTTCATCAGCAACAGCGATGGAAACAACAACTCCCATGATCCCACGCTGCTTCACCAAACTAGGTCTTTTGCTATTGTTTTGATTGAGAAGTTACATATTGTACGTTTAAGGGCCTCAACTTCTCTGGTCTCATTTTTTAGGCTGAGAATAAAAAATGAAAACACACAAAGTTTGGACTTTCCATCTCTGCATCTCACTGCACACACACACACACACACACAGCCCCCACCAGCCACTTCACTATAAGATGCTATTATTAACCTTCCTCCAACACCCAGTAAGAAAACATACTTTTGCCTAATTGCCAGTACATGAAACACACACATAATGTTCAGTTTGTGCAAGCCAGCAAGCACACACCAAAGACAACAACATCCATTACTGTAAGTGGTGACAAACCAAATTATACACACACACACAGCTGACACCAGCAACTACACCCGCACACCCACGGTCAAACAAACATTAACACACATAGAGTAATGCACACTCAACAAAACCGCTAATTGTAGGCATCATGAGCAAATGGTATACACAAACAAACCCATCCAGTGCTCGGCTGAGTTTCTGTGTAACAAACACTTACAGCGATGCGGAGCAGGGTAGCCCTGACGGCGGCCCATCGGTCCAGTCGTCTGTCGATGACCAGGATGAAACCCACTCCCGATGCGGCAACGCTGCAGAGAGACACACGCTGTTGTCAGAAGGTAAATTACTTTTCTGTGTGTCTGAAAGTGTTTGTACAGGTCAAACAGCCTTATGGGTAATTATTCCAACAGGGACCTTTACGGAGCTGTTTTTTTTTTTTTTTAAATATACCAGAAATGATCATAATCAGTGCACATATAACAATGACCTGTAATATATTGGCACTACATTTCCCAGAGACCCCATGTCCCTCCATCAGCTCTGCATGTGCAGTAAAATCTTTTTCTTTGGATTTGATGAGGATTAATACAAATGTAAAATGCATCATATTCAGTCCTAACAGAGGATAGTTTGCAGGGAACAGCTTCCATAACAACTGCAGGTTGGATCAATAAACATAGCAACATATATGTAACAATATGTATATGAAAAAATGTTCCTAAGGAAAAATAAAATCATATTTCAGGAATAAAAACTGATGCCGGGAAAGGTGAAGCCTTTTTATCTGTAATCATCATTTGTCATCGGTGATGATGATGAGAGGCCCTTGAGATTACCATGGCAACCTGGCCTCTGCAATGATGTGTGTGTTGCTACATATTCCACAGGCGGTGCAATGTGTAGCAACCTCATTAAGCTAATGTGTGCGTGTGTGTGTCAGTGCGTGCATGTGTGGATGCAGCAATGCCAAAGAATTGACATGCACCCTGACACTACACAGAGGCAGAAAGGATGGAGGTTGAAGCACAACACACATGCGCACGCACGCACACACACACAAATACTGCTGACTTGGTCCATCTGTGTGTCCCTATTTGCCAATTTTCATCACCACACATACACATAGAGCAAATGAACACACTACGCTACCCAGTGAACGCTGCGACAGCAAATCCTCAGTCCATCTCTACAGGAAAAAAATATTCAAATCCCATGAATCAAGACGGTTGACTTGCTATTCCAGGATGAGAAAAAATACTTCAAATCCTTAATATTCCATCGCTATCATCCAACAATAATCCAATCCTCCTAATTTGTCCTTGTTCCGTTGCTGTCAGTGTTCTGTTCCTGTATCCATCATCTGTGTGCAGCCTGCAGATGGAGAGCAGTAACCGTTCACATCCTTAAAGAGCATCTCCCTCCTCCTTGTCCTTCTCCCTCGACTCCTCCACCACCCTCATCCCCACCCTCATCTCCATCCTCGGCCAATTAAAGCACAGCTCTGCATCTTGCTGTTCCCATTGTGGCCAATCAGTGCTCAGGGTGCAGCCGATTGGCAGCTGGGTGCACATAGCTTGTGGGGGAGAAAGAGAGGGGGATTCAGGGAAAGGGCTATGAAAGGTGATGAGCCACAAAAAATATATATAGAAAGAGAAGCCGACATGACACACACATACAGGTACAGACGTGTATGTACATATAAAAATGAATGCATCTCCATCCTTTCTTCTCCTTTTTTATAAACATGGATGTGCATGCAAGAGTGTGTGTGCACCATTGCAGTGCAGCATTCAGCAGTAAAGGTGCAGGAAGGAAAGCAGGGGAGGGAGGTAATAGGGAGGAGGGACAGATGGAGGCGAGAATAAAGGAAGAGAGGAGGAGTAATAAAGACAAAAAGAAGAAAAGAGGTGGGATTATGATTTAATTTGAATCTGATTAGCAAAACAAACTGCTATAGGTTTCACCCCAACATGCACCAGGGCTATTAGGGTAGTTTATTTTGAAAGATGCTTAAAATTAATATTTAAAAGCAAATTGTATCCACATTTACAT